TCACTATCGGTCTCGCTCGATCGATCTCACTCGATCGATCTCACAATCGATCTCACTCGATCTAGTTCATTCGATCGATCTCACAATCGATCTGATTATCGATCTCACAGACGATCTCACTATCGATCTCACTATCGATCCCACAATCGATCTCACATTCGGTCTCACTATCGATATCTCAACCGATCTCACAATTAACGTCATCATCAAAATCATCATCATCATCATCATCGTCATCAGCGTCATCAACATCATCATCATCGGGACACCATCAGCATCACCTCATCACCATCATCATCAACATCATCATCACCATCATCATCATCATCGGGACACCATCATCGTCACCATCATCAACATCATCATCATCGGGACACCATCATCGTCGGAACACCACCATCACCATAATAATCATCTCATCGTCATCATCATCATCATCATCATCATCATCATTATCATCATCATCATGAACAACATCATCAACATCATCTTCATCATCATCATCATCAGCAACATCGTTTTTTCATCATCATTATCATCGGGGCACCATCATCATCGTCACCATCACCATCACCATCATCATCGGGACACCATCATCATCAACATCAGCATCATCATCACCATCATCGGGTCATCATCAGCAAAATCAGCATTACCACCTGATCATCATACTCACCATCAGCATCATCAGCATCGGGACACCATCATCGTCTGCATCATCATCAGCAGCATCATCATCATCGGAACACCATCATCATCATCACCATCATCAACAGCATCATCATCAACCTCATCAGCATAATCGGAACACCATCATCATCATCTTCATCATCATCGTCACCTCATCATCATCTCATCATCATGAACACCATCATGATCATCATCATCATCATCATCATCATCATCATCATCATCGGGACAACATCATCATCATCAGCAACATCATCATCAATATCATCGGCATCGGGACACCATCATCATCACCACCATCACCATCACCGTCATCATCATCATCAACATCGTGAACATCTTCATCATCTTCATCATCATCATCAGCATCATCTGGACACCATCATCATCACCACCATCACCATCATCATCAACATCATCGACATCATCATCATCATCATCATCATCATCATCATCATCATCATCATCATCATCTTCATCATCATCATTATCATCATCGGGACACCGACGGGACACTGGCGGGACACCGCGGGCCACCGGCCCCCGGAAAGGAATCATTTGGTCCGGCCGCTCCTCAGCCAGAGAATACTTTCTTCTCTCCCGCCCACGCAGCTTCGCCTCGCCGGCCGCACGCACGGCGCGCACGAACACGAAACCGAAACCGATTTCCCGAGAGGGGGGCTCTCCGTTCCACTTCGATCTCACCCCCTCACCTCCGATATATATATATATATACATATATATATATATGTCATATAATTGTGAATGTGTATCTCTCCGTGTGGACATGTACGGCGGAATATTCCGGGAGCCGGGTACAGGTGGGAACCGAAACAAAACATGAGGAGTGGGAAAAAGGGCAGACGCAGGGGCAAGGGAACGTGGTGGTAAGGCGACAGTGTTTCCCATGCAGTCGTTTTGGGGGAGGAGGGGATGAATAGATGAGCAGAATAGCGAAATTGAACAGAGATTGGAGGTGACCTTGAATGTGGAAAGGAGGGGAACGAGGGAGGAAGACCATGGTCGGGTTGGACACCGCATTCCGCCATCCATCGTGCCAAACAGATGACCAGCAGAGGATCGGATGATTCACAAGGCCTGTGGGACAGGATGGAGGAGGATGGAGGAGGACGAGCAGGAGGAGGAGGAGGAGGAGAAGGAGGAGGAGGTTAAGGAGGAGCAGGATGGAGAAGGACGAGCAGGAGGAGGAGGAGAAGGAGGAGGAGGAGGTGAAGGAGGAGCAGGAGGAGGAGGAGGAGAAGGAAGAGGAGAACGAGGAGGAGGAGGAGGAGGAAAAGGAAGATGAAAAGAAAGGAGAATGAGGAGGAGGAGGATGAGCCGGAGAGGAGGTGGAGGAGGAGGATGCGGGAGTAGGATGAGTACGGAGGACAGAGCAGTATCATTATGCGGCGGAGGAGGTAGGAAGAGTGTATAGCATTAGAAGGAGGAGGCGGAGGAGGAGGAGGAGGTATGAGGAGGAGGAGGAGGAGGAGGAAAAGGACGGAGCAGGAGAAGAGGTATTAGCCGGAGGGGGAGTGTGAAAGGAGGACGACCCCAGCCCCTATAGAAGCAAGGAGGGGGCACCCCGCCGTAAGCCCGCAGCTTGCCGTGGGGCTGGGGGGGGGGGGCGGATTGGCGGAGGCCAGAGGGAACGAACGATACGAAAACATTACGGTAGGTTTGCGTCGTGTCGACCAGCGGCGACCCCAGCGCGGGCGTTCAAGGTTGAACGCCGCCGGCGACCCAGAATCGATCGACGTTGAACGATCGGACGTTGCGGCAGCGGCCGATCGTTCAAGGTTGAACGATCCCTGCGGTGTCAAAACCAACGCTGGGGTCGACGCGACACGAACCTGCCGCACCCAGACATGATCGCGTCGTGAAAAAATCAGGACGGGAGGTTTTTTACTTTTTTGGGCCCCGGGCGGCCCTCGCCGGGCCTCGGGACCGTGAAAAAGCAACTCAGGACGAAAAGCCGGTCCCAGGGAAGGGGTCGGGACTTGCAGGGACGCCGTCCTGAACAAATCAGGACGTCGCATCTCTGGGTACCCCATCAGTGGATGCTTCGAAGTGGGATCGGTAAAGAGATCGACCGGGAACCCGGGAACGCGGGAGCCCACCGGAATCGGCCCAGAAACAAGATCGGCGGGAAATTTTCGCCAAATTTTTCAATTTTCGCTAGGACCCCTTTCAGTGCAAGCACTGATTGGGGAATGTGAGAGCATGCGACCATTCCGAGAACGTGCCGTGTAAAGAATCCGCCGGACATGGCCGAAGGCTCACAACGGATATCCCGACGATTTTTTTCCCAACCATCCTGTGGTGTTGGGTCCTCGTTTTGAAGAGACGGTGCCCCGCGTTCTACTTCCTCCCGCTGCCTCCTTGCTGCCGCTCGCATGCGTCACGCACACCCAATTCGGCACACCCCTCACACGTTTCGTGGCCCCATAGGGAGCTCCACCGAAGGCCCCATGCGCCGCCGCGCCCACGCATGCGTCACGCGATCACCCAATTCGGCACACCCCTCACACGTTTCGTGGCCCCATAGGAGCTCCGCCGAAGGCCTCAGTGCTGCCGCCCGCATGCGTCACCCACACACAGTTCGGCACACCCCTCACACGTTTCGTGGCCCCATGGGAGCTCCGCCGAAGGCCCCAGTGCTGCCGCCCGCATGCGTCACGCACACCCAATTCGGCACACCCCGCACACGTTTCGTGGCCCCATAGGAAGCTCCGCCGAAGGCCCCAGTGCTGCCGCCCGCATGCGTCACGCACACCCAATTCGGCACACCCCTCACACGTTTCGTGGCCCCATAGGGAGCCCCACCGAAAGCCCCAGTGCTGCCGCCCGCATGCGTCACGCACACCCAATTCGGCACACCCCTCACACGTTTCGTGGCCCCATTTAGGTATGCCCTTCGTAGGTCCCCAGGTGCTGCACCGCCCGGCATGCGTCACGCACACAACGCCAGATTCCGGCACAACACCGCAGCAACGTTTCCGTGGCCCCCATAGGGAGCTCCGCCGAAGGCCCCAGTGGCTGCCGCCCGCATGCCGTCACGCCACACCAATTCAGGTCCACACCACTCACTAACGTTTCGTGGCCCCATAGGGAGCTCCGCCGAAGGCCCCAGTGCTGCCGCCCGCATGCGTCACGCACACCCATTTCGGCACACCCCTCACACGTTTCGTGGCCCCATAGGAAGCTCCGCCGAAGGCCCCAGGGCTGCCGCCCGCATGCGTCACGCACACCCAATTCGGCACACCCCTCACACGCTTCGTGGCCCCATAGGGAGCTCCGCCGAAGGCCCCAGTGCTGCCGCCCGCATGCGTCACGCACACACAATTCGGCACACCCCTTACACGCTTCGTGGCCCCATAGGGAGCTCCACCGAAGGCCCCAGTGCTGCCGCCCGCATGCGTCAGCCACACCCAATTCGGCACACCCCGCACACGCTTTCGTGGCCCCATAGGGAGCTCCACCGAAGGCCCAGCGCCACCGCCCGCATGCGTCACGCAACCCAATTCGGCACACCCCTCACACGTTTCGTGGCCCCATAGGGAGCTCCACCGAAGGCCCCAGGGCTGCCGCCCGCATGCGTCCCGCACACCCAATTCGGCACACCCCTCACACGCTTCGTGGCCCCATAGGGAGCTCCACCGAAGGTCCCAGCGGCCGCGCTCACATGCGTCCCCGCCACCTATCCCGGCACGCTCCTCACAACAACAGGTTTCGTGCCGGCTGCCCAGGCGTGCCTCGCACGCGCGTGGTGGCGCGCAGCCTTGCCGTGGTGCCTCCGCTGTGCTCTTGAGCCGTGGTGCCTCCGTCGCCCGTGAACCCGCCGCGTGCCTGACCCCCCTCTCTCGATCGCTCTCTCTTTCCCCCCCTCCTCCCTCTCCTCCTCCTCCTCCTCCTCCTCCTCCTCCTCCTCCTCCTCCTCCTCCTCCTCCTCCTCCTCCTCCTCCTCCTCCTCCTCCTCCTCCTCCTCCTCCTCCTCCTCCTCCCCTCCTCCTCTCCTCCTCTCCTCCCGCTCCTCCTCTCCTCCTCCTCCTCCTCATCTCCTCCTCCTCCTCCTCCTCCGCCTCCTCCTCCTCCTCCTCCTCCTCCTATCCTCCCCCTCCTCCTCCTCCTCCTCCTCCTCCTCCTCCTCCCCTCCTCCTCCTCCTCCTCATCATCAACATCATCATCATCATTCTCATCCTCCCTCCTCCCTTCCTCCTCCTCCTCCTCCTCCTCCTCCTCCTCCTCCTCCTCCTCCTCCTCCTCCTCCTCCTCCTCCTCCTCCTCCTCCTCCTCCTCCCTTCCTCCGTAGCCATTTTGGCTCAAGCCATTTGGGCTCAAGCATCTTTTGCTCAGACCACGGGGTTTCAGGGTCGACCCGCGATCCGCTCGACTTCGTTGCGTCATGGCTCGCAGAGGATCCGCCGCGATCGCCCTTGCAGGCTGCCTGCTGCTCGCCTCGCTTTGGCACTTCCGCGACATCACGGGCTTTGTGGGCAGCACAGCCGCAAGGGCAGGTCGCAAGCCGATTGTGCAGACCAATGCCGTCGACAAGGCGATGAAGGAGCGCATCGCGTCCGTTGCGAAGACGGGCAAGCTCACAGAGGCCATGCGCCTCGTCGCCGCCGCCAAGGTGCGCCGCGCGCAGGCTGGCGTTGAGAAGGCAAGGCCATTCAGCGACGAGCTGTCCTCCATGATCAAGGGCTTGGTCAAGAGGCTGAAGGGCAGCGGCCTGGAGTCGGAGCTGCCGATGCTGCGCGTGCCCGAGAAGGTCAGCAACGTCGGCATCGTTCTCATCACATCCGATCGCGGCCTCTGCGGCGGCTACAACGCAAGGATCATGAAAAAGGCGGCTGCTCGCATTGAGGACCTGAACAAGGAGGGTATCGTGCCGAAGATGATCATCGTCGGCAAAAAGGCTTTGTCTGGTCTGAACACCAAGCTGAAGGAGGTGAAGCTGAACTACACCGGGACTTTCATCAGAATGCCTGACTCCATTACGTCCGCCGCGATCGCTGAAATTGGCGACGAGCTCAGGAACCTCTTCCTGTCGGGAGAGGTGGACAAGGTGGAGGTTATCTACGCCAAGTTCATTAACCTGCTGTTGAACGAACCGCAGGTCCGCACCGTGCTGCCGCTGAGCCCCACTGGTATCGAGGATCCTGACGACGAGACCTTCGCCCTTACCTCCGAGGACGGCAAATTGTCCGTGAAGAAGGAGAAGGTGAAGAAGGTGGATGCCAAGGAGATCGAGTCTGACGTGATCTTCGACCAGCCCCCGGAGGTTATCCTGAATTCCATGCTGCCGCTGTACCTGAATTCGCAGCTGCTCTCCATGTTGTTTGACGCCCAGGCCTCCGAGCTCGGGTCCCGCATGACCGCGATGAAGGCGGCCACGGACAACGCAAAAGACCTCGGGGAGAGGCTCACCATCCTCTACAACAAGAAGCGCCAGGCCGCCATCACCCAGGAGCTCTGCGAGATCACCGCCGGATGCCTCTGCGTCGAGCAGAAGGGCACGCGCAGCGGAACCATGCTGGGCGAGTTCGACAACGAGGACACCGTGGGCGCGGACTTCATGACGGAGCTGGAGGACGGCTCCATCCCGGATGCTCCCGTGAGCCCGGACCTCGACAGCGACATCAGGATGTTCACGGGCGACACGCTCAAGTGAGCGCGCGGGCGCTAGAGCGTCCAGGAGTTCGGCATTCCGGACCCCCCCAATCCTTGACGCCGACAGCACAATTTGGAGGTTCACCGGGGAGACGCTCAAGTGAGCGTCCGCGCTCCGGGTGCAGGATTCACAAGAGGGTGTATTCTGCTGTCTTTGTTTGATCTAATCGCTCCTCCACCTCGGCAGGGGGGAGGCCCTGGGAGGCACTGGGATGGCCTACGCAGTTCTGCAGTGACTGCAGGAAGCTCGTCTCGGCGTGACCGTGCAAGGGGATTTTTATGCTAGCGTGCAGTGGACGAGCGGTGGTCACCAGAAGTCGGAGGGGCTCTGTCTCCTCGGGCCGTGTGTAAGGGGCCCTGTGCTGCGCTCCTCCTCCCTTCCTCCTCCTCGCGCTCTCTCTTCCCGTCCTCCTCCTCTCTCGCTCTCTCGTTCCCCTCCCCCTCGCCGGCCTGCGTAGGCACCCGATGGCACTGCGGTCACCACGCACGGGAGTAAAACGAAAACAAAAAAACACCCCGCGCACGCATCCCGTTGGTGCGCGCAGCCGGGGCAGGGTGATCGCAGCATTCACTTCGAGGTGTGATCGATCCGATTCGATATCGTCGAGCAAGGCCAGCTGTTGCTGGGAGTTCTCCTCGGGGAGGGGGGGGGGCAAGGAGGGGGGGATGACTAGGGGGGGGGATATCGTGGCGGGGGCCAAGCCATGATATCTCCCTAGATTTCATGGCGCCTCTTCTTCTTCCACTTCGTTCCCTGGCTCCCACTGGTCTGCGCACATGCCTCGGGCCATGATTTGCGCACACACCCCTCTTGGACACCTCCCTCTTGGACGCTGCCGATCTCCGGCGGTCCGATGTGTCCCGATGCCTGCATGGCGCTGCTGTGCACCCTGGGGCAGCCAATCCGACTCGACATTGGGACTCCGTGCCGATGCAGCCCGATCCGACGCCCATTGCGACGCGATATCCCGTTTCCCGATTCGGTGTTGACTGATGATCCCGAGATGCGGGCGGGGCTGGGACTCCCAGGTTGCACCGTTCCAGAGCGCTCCGGGACGCTCTCAGTGCCTTCCGCAGCGCTCTGGAAGGGCCGCGGCGCCCGACACATCCTCCAGAGCTGCCGAAATCCCAGGGATCGCCGATCTACGAGGGCCACCACGAAGGTCAGAAGCTTGCCGCGCTTCGCGACTCGCGCTCTGGGCGATGGCAGGGCGAGGCGCGAGGCCCTCATGCTGCTCCACCGGGGGGGCGGCGCGGCAGCGCCAAGGGAATCGCGCCTCGCGGAGCGCGCAGCGCGAAGACGGGTGCCCCAGATGTTGTCGCCGCCTCGGCCTCGTCTTGCCTCGGCGATCGCCTGGCCGCCACAGCCCGCGTGGCCCGGGCAACAGCCCGCGGGGGGCTGCGGGGGTCGGCCGCCGTCCTCGATCAAAGCGGAGCCTGCCGGAGGCGGCCTCGGGAGCGGCGGACCTCTGACCCCTGACCCCTCGCCCGCCACGTATATGTATGTATGTATACATCTATATACACACAGATGCCCTCGAATGGATTGTTCCTGGGCTTCAAGGGGAGGTTGGCAGTGTATAGATTCATCACCATTGAGAGCCAGCGACTTCATACACCGCCGCCCCCACTGGAGGTACATGCGAAATTCGTCGGAGGGTGCCTGTGTACGTCTTTTCGCGGCGGACCTCGAGCCTTGAACCATTCAGGAGTGTGTGTGTGTGTGAAAACGAGGCCAGGACGAGGACACATTCGAGATTTTATGAATCGAGATGCTCTCAGATCCTGCGGCTCAGGAGGATGTATTGGGCTGCGCGGCATTCTCAGAGCGTTCGGAATTCTTCAGAGAGCGTGCCCGAACGCTCTGGAACGGATTTATCCTCGTCCTAGCCCTTCCGATGTGTTGCTGCTTCCGGCCTCTGAGGGCCCTCACATCGGGGCCCAAAAATATACACCACCACCACCACCTCCCTCGCCCCATCCCTCCCTCAAGAGGAAGGAGGGGAAGAGGAGGGTAGAGGAGGTGGTGGCGTATACTCCGTGAGAAGAAGATGACGTTGGGGGTCTGGGGACGCTGGTCGCGTGTGGCCTTTCGCGCACATGGGGCATGGCATACCGGGAGAGGGGGGGTCCGGTAGGAGGAGGGTCCCTGAGATCCAGGCGGTGCAGTTCCTTCACGCCAGACGGGTTCGCCCGGTCTCGGGTCCGGGGCACACACGTGTTGCCGCGGCTCTAAAAATGATACAGAAAGACGGCGCGCAGGTCTCCAGCCATGACACGCTCGCACGTCGGATCCCAGGGGATGGCGGAGGGAGGTGGAGGAAAGGGGTGTGGGGGGGGGGGGCAGCACAGCGCCATATCTGACATCTTACCCCGCCCCACACATCCCTTCCCATTGCGCTGAAGTTTCTCTCTCCGCGGACGCGTGTCATAGCGGACCTGGAGCTTCAACCAAAACATCACATTGTGTCATGTGCAATCACAAAATGGCGGAGGAACGGGGGATAGGGGGAGGAGAGGAAGGGGGAGGAGGGGGAGGAGCAGAGGGAGGGGGAGGTGGGGGCGACCCCGAGGGGGCCTCGGGGCCGGAAACCGACCTCCAGAGCCCAGAGGACGAACACGGCGATGACAAACCCGCCGCTCTGTTTTTCTGCCGAGGCGCAGGATGTTTATGGCTACGTGAGGGCGTGAGGGGGGGGGAGGGGGCGAGGGACGCAGAGTGCAGCCGCGTCAGCCCGGGCTCGAGCTCCTCGCGGCGGGGTTGGCGCGCCGGCCCGATGGCGTCTGCGGCGCGGGGTGGGGCGGCACCCCAAGAAGAGCAGAAGCCTCATGCGAACGAACAAGGGTGAAAACGTTTGCGTGGTTCTTATTGTTTCAGTGCGAATGCAAGCTGTGGGCCTGTAGCCTGTGGATCCGTTAAGTATGCGATGTCCTTTCAGCCAGGGGTGTCAGGAAAGTTACCACAGGGACAGCTGTGTTCGTGGCAGCCGGGCGTTCCTAGCCACCTTGCCTTCTGATCCTTCCATGCCGGCTCTTCTTATCATCGAGGCGCCGAAGAGATTTGTTCGGGCGTAGTTTTCGGAAACGTTAGATTCGACAAAGCCAGAACTCGGGTTAGCCGACATGTGTTGACGAGCGCGTCCTGGATTTTGACGGTCCAGCTTTCGTGGGATGTTTGCAGCGGGAGTTCGCTTCACATTTCAGATTGGGTCTCGCCATCTCTTATGATGGCCCCTTCAGGCCAACCCGAGTCCCTCGTACCCGAGTCTTACGTCTCCCCGAGTAGTGGGTCTTCTGGCTCAGGCGTGTTTCCTCCCTCTCGACCTGTGTCGTGGGCCGGTCCCAGGTCCCGCAGAGAGGCCGTCAGAAGTCTGGCATCGGTCTGTTGGAGGGCTGGGCCGCCAAGGCGCGCCCCTCGCAGGCTCGGAGCAGCCTAAGCTCGCATCGGCTGTTTGGCGCCTCGCTCTACGAAATACTCCTCCTCCCCCTCCTCCTCCTCCTCCGCCTTCTCCCCCTCCCCCTCCTCCTCCTCCGTCTCCTCCGCCTCCTCATCCTCTCCCCTCCTCCTCCTCCTCCTCCACTCCTCCTCCTCTCCTCCTCCTCCTCCTCCTCTCCCCCTCCTCCCCCTCCGCCTCCTCTCCTTCCTCCTCCTCCCCGCTCCTCCTCTCCTCCTCCTCCTCCTCCTCCTCCTCCCTCCTCCTCCTCTCCAGCGTCTCCTCCTCCGCCTCCTCCTCCTCCTCCTCCCCCTCCTCCTCCCGCTCCTCCTCCCCCTCACAGATCTGGCCATCTCTCGCACATGCGCACATAGAAGCGTCGCACGATTCTAACAGAATGGTGAGCAGGGTGAAAATATGGAATGAGCAATTTGCAAGGAACAACGAACATTATTTGCAGTTGCCGATGTTTGTTCCAAGAGTGGTTTGCGTTCATGCCCTCGCGCCACATCCTCATGTTTCTGTCATGTAAGATCCATGCGCAGACCTTCTTTGCCCGCGGCAGCATTCCGAAGGGCGAGGAGTCCCCCTTACCTCCACGACGCAGGCCTAGAATGTTTGCCCCCCTTGCCGTGCCTCATGATGTCAGGACGGTGTGGGATCCTGCCCCTGCGGGGAAAGGGACAGCGTCGGGAGGCGGGGCGAGGAGGAGGAGGAGGAGGCCGAGGAGGGGCGAGGAGGAGGAGGAGAACAACGACGGTTGCCATGCCGGCAGCGACGACGAGGATGCGCGGGCGTGAGGACGGTGCGCGGGGAGAGAGTCCGCGAGGCAGACCAGGAGGAGGAGCAGGAGGAGGAGGAGGAGGAGGAGAAGGAGCAGGAGGAGGAAAAAAGGGAGGAAAAGGAGTTCGATGATGAAGGCGAGGACGAGGCCACGCCGAGGCGGAGGAGGAGGAGGATGATGAGTCAGAGGTGGATGGTCAGGACGGCGCGGAGGAGCAACAAGAGGATGCGTATGCGGACGAGGAGCAACAGGAGCAGGAACAGGGCTCCTGCCTGGACGACGCTCCGCTTCGAAGTTTATCGGCGTCAGCGGCTCTACCGAGCCTTGGGCCTACTTGGGCGCGCTCGCATCCCTCCGCTTGCCCGCACTCTGACCGCTTCCGCGCCTGTTTTGCAGTTGGCGCAGCCCGGCCAATACCGGGTTGACCCAGCAATCATCACTTGGAATGCGAAGGCCTTTTTCGCCAATGAGTGAGCACCGTCGCAAGAAGAAGGTTGCCCACTTGGCGACGCTGCTGACCCGCTGTGATGTGGTGCTGACCATGGAGGCCCACGGCAGTGTTGGACAGCATGCCGCGTGGACTTCCCCCATGTGGAACCTCTGCGTGGTGGTCGCCCGAACCCAGCGGGCCACGTGCGGGCGTGGGGATAGTTGTCAAGCAGAGCTTGCTGAGCAGGTTCACGGAGGTCGCGTGGAAGATTCTCTGGCTTGTTCGCGTTGCCCGGCTGGAGCTAGCGGGCCCCCTCGGCAGTTTCGACCTCACTGCTTGCTTCTTCCAGTGGGGCGCGGAGGTGCAGGAGATGGACCGCTGTGAGCCTACCGCGGAGCAGGCGCAGCGCTGCCGCACCTTCCGGGCCACAAGAGAGAGATCATGCGCCCGCGGTCGGGTAAGTTCACCCGTGGCGAGGTCGCTGCCCCGGCGCTCCTCGGAGGTGACCTATACGCTGGGCCACGGTGGACGCCGACCGTGGCTCCTGCTCCACTGCGGCGCGTGGCGGTCGGCGCCGCGACCAGAGCACGACGAGGCGCACTTCCAGGAAGTCCTCGGCAGGCGCCGGGCCATGCAGGAGATGCACCAACTTTAAAAGGTGGGCCTGTCCCTCTCCGGGAGGAACGTTCAAGAATGATGACAAAAGAGTCGGGGGGCGAGGTTTGGACTATTCGTGGCCATTTGGGATTCTGCTTTGAGTATTCTTTTTTTTATTGGTCCTCGGAAAGCCGCCTGCAGGAGGACATGCCGGAGCGAACACCGACTGGAGATGGCCTTCGCGTCGGCTGGCGCGAGGCCGCGCCTGGGCACCGCACCTGCGGCAGCCGGCCCGCCGCGGAGCAGCTGGACAGAGAGGGGAGGGCGGCGGCCTGGGATCGGGGGAGCGTAAGACCCGGGTTCGCCATCGTTTTTTGACGACCGCGACTCGGATTTTGACGAGTAGGAGTTTCGTTGGATGTCTGCAGCGGGAGGCCTCGTCAAAATGCAGGCTCGGCCTCGTCATTTTTGTTGACGACCTCGTCGGGGATTTCCGAGTCCCCCGTAACCGGGTCTTACGTCTCCCCGATGGGAGCGGAAGCCAGAGGTCAGGCAGTGGCGAGGCGTGCTGGCATGCCTGCAAGCCCACCGAGGTAGTGTTCTGAGAGCCTTCCGTGGCGTCCACGACCTGTTCATAGAACGGCTTTCTGGCTGGGGCTGCCCTGTTTTGACACATGGGGCCCACGTTCTGAGAGCATTGCTTTCGTTATCATAACCTTCCTGGGTTCTAAGAGCATTGCGTGGTAGGACTCTAGGAACGCCGGGACGGTCGACCCCTGCTCAAAGAGGCCTCGGACCACAGGGCCGCCACAGGGCCGCGCTGTCTTGGGGCGTTAGCCTCAGCACCTCCCGCAGCAGGAGCGGCCGCGCACGGACGCGCAGGTCCGGCCACCGGGCTTCGCGCGCAGGGTTCGGCTGCTCGCTTCGATCGCTGGCGGGCTGAGCTGGAGAGGGGCACGGCCATCTGCCGCATCGAACTTTTGAATCCACGCGGGAGGTCGCCGCCAGCATTTTGAAGGGCCCTTCTCAGACGACGCCAGCCGCGAGCCTCGTGGCCCGCCTGTGCATCACGACACGTTTCCGTCGGGCAGCGGAGGCCGGAGCCACAATTTCAGCTTTCCTGGAGCGGTACCCCTCCCTGGGGGCGTTGCTGGCTAACCCGTACGACAAGCAAGCGCACACTACGAGATGGCTCAGGCCTTTTCGCGATCGCGCTATCGAGGTGGCCAGAGAGCGCGCGGTGGACGGGCTAAACGCGACGCGCCCCGACTTCCAGGAGGGCGCCCGCGACCTTGCCTTGAGGCGAAGGTGGAAAGCTACTCCGGATTCCATAACAAAGTGGGGGGATCACATTCGGGGGGGGGTCTAATTTGAGCTGTCTTGGAAGGTTCGGGGGGGGTCTGGGCAAAGGGCCGCCCTGTCATGGATCGTCTGGGGGGGTCTAAAACGTCTCGTCTGGGAGGGTTGTGACCCCCTCCCTTTTATCACGAAATCTGGGGTACGCAGTTCTGTTCACTGCCTCCTCCCATGGCAGGCCTTGTCGCTCAGGGCGGCGCGGTCGGCCCGGGGCGAGCACCTCCCTGATGCCTGGGGCGATCGCGCAGGCGCCACCGCCAGGGGAGTCGGCGGGGCGTTGCTGCGGGAGGGGCTGCAGGACGAGGGGCTTGACGCTTGACCGAGATGCCCACGGCCCCTCCCACCAGCAACTTTCGGGGGTGGACAGAACCCCCAACAGCGACACGTCGATTAGTGAATTGTCCGTTTTCGGTTTTCGAGAGGGCGCCGTGGCCGTTATTTTCCAGGCTTGCGCCCGCCAGGTTTGGGCCTCGGGTCGTTTTCACCAAACCACGTTTTACTAAAGGGGGGTCTGTCCATCCCCGAAACTTCAGGAGCTTCGGATCAAACGACGTCGCATCCAGCAAGCCCTGCAGCGATCGAACCATTTGGCCCCTGGCGCCGGCGGCATCCCCTATGCAACACGGCGCGAACTTGGAGATCTGTGGCGTGAACGGCGCCAGCGCGCTGCCTGAGCTTTAGGCGGACTTCAGCTCCAGCCCGTTGGTCTGCTTCCCGACGCAGCCCAGCGGGGAGATCGAACATTGGACAGCGCCCCACGCCGTGGATTGCGCGCGGCCGCTCAGCATTACCAACACCGACACCATGCTAATGGCCAGCGCTTGCCGATGGCTGTTGGAGCCAACCCTCGGCCCTCTCATCACCGAGGAGCAGAAGGGCTTCATTCGCGGGCGCTCGATGCTCAGCAACATCGTGGACATTGAAGAGGGGATGCTTCGCTGCGCGGCTGCAGGCACAGGGGGCTTGGCATTTTTCTTTGCATCTGCCGCAGCCTTCCCTCCATTGAGCAGCAGCTCTCCATCGTGTTCGTCCAACAACTGGGATGGCCGTTTTTGTTGATCAACTTCATCAGGGCCCTGTACGCGAGCAAGTATCCCGAGACTTCTTGGGCGGGGGCACGATGTGGGGATTCCGCGCTGACCAGGGGGATCCGGAAAGGCGTTATCGCCTTTGCTCTGTGCCGCTTGTCTGGACCTCTCCCTCAGTCAGGCGATCGCGAAGATGGACCAAGGGGGCGTGGATTAGCGATTGGTCCCCTTCCCATGGCAAGGCGCGTATATCCGCCGCCGAAAGAGGCGGCCCGGATTGCACCTCCCCCGATCCATGCATTTGGCGACCGCGCGTCAAATCGATTGGTCGCTAATCCATGTTCGCGCGACCTCTCCCCTGGAGACTCGACCCAGCGTTGCGCCAGCTACGCGACCGCGCTTTCGCGCACGACCTGGCGACGGTGCCGGCGAGCGTAGGCGCGAGGCGCCCTCGCCAGGCGATCTTTGCACCCCCCACCCCCGATTTGAATTCCTGGTCCATTCGAAAACCCACGAAGCCTGGTATAGGGGTCGGCACGTCCCCTGCCAAGAGTACCCTTCGGCTCGCGGGGTGGCATTTGCTTTCAGCGGGGCGGCGCGCTGACTTCTCCAGCGCGCCGAGGTCGGCCACCCGGCGTCCTCTCCTGCTCGTCCTCCTTCTCCCCGGGCTGCTGCCCGCCTCCCCACTCCTCCCTCCTACTCTTAAGCCGGGCCTGTCCCTCTGCAGGAGGAATCTTCAAACATAGCATAACAAATACTCCGGGGACGATTGCTGTAACCATATGTTTTGCCATGTTTGAAGGATTGTTGGATATTTTTTGAAAACAAAATCTTTGAACATCCGCCTGTAGAAGAACATGCCCGACCGAATCCTACTCGCACCCCCGCATGTCGCACGGCTCCCCCTTCCTTCCCACCAGGAGGCGGGCCGTGATAAGCTACGCATGTCAGGTCAGGGGTGTCAGCCTGGCGTGTCTCTCGCAACAGGCGGGAATACCTTGATGGACATAGGAGGGCTGAGGCCCAAAAGCCTTGCAGGAGCACAGGGTTCGCGGCCCACACCCACCTTCGGCCGGGACTGGGAGCGGAGGCGTACGGCGATTGCGGCGCAGCCTGCGAGGCGAGCTCGAGGCCCTCTCAGGGCATCGGCCGCCGTCGCCGCCGCCGTCATCGCCGCCGTCATCGCCACCGTGTCGTCGCCGCTGTCGTCGCCGCCGTCGCCCGCATCGTCGTCGCCGCCGTCGAGTTTGCTGCCGCCGTCGTCGTCGCCGCCGTCGTCTTTGCCGTCGCCTCGTCGTCGTCGTCGCCATCATCGCGGTCGCCGCCGTCGGCGACGTCGGCGACATCGGAGGAAGAAGACGAGGAGGAGTAAAGGGAGGAGGAGGAGGAGGAGCAGAAGAAGGAGGAGGAGAAGTAGGAGGAATGTTCTACACGGTCCGGTCAGCTGTTATGTTTTTTTTCGATGGCCTCGTGGCTCGTGATGCATCTGTGTGTGTGTGTGGGTTTGTTTGTTTGGTGGTTCGAATGGGTTTGAGGGGGCTTCTACTCCTCCGCAGTAAACCCAGATCCCCGATGAGGTCTGGGTCATGTGTTCAGACCTTGTTTTTTCGCTCTCTCAAAGAAAAGGAGGGAGGGAGGCCTTCTAAGAAGCCAGGCTCCCTAGGAGTCCCCCCGCCTCCCGAGAAGCCCTCTCAGAAGTATCCGGCCCCTTCCAAGAGGAAGAGCCTGCACTCTTCCCAGAGATCCGATGCATTGGATCTGTTTGGTATGGGGCCCCTGGACATGTCGACCCTCTCCTTCGGGCCTGCCCTCCATGTACAGACGTTTCTTGGCGACGGGGTCCAAGGGGCCGGAGACGGCGCAAAGATCTACGCTTCGATTCTCTCGAGGCGCCTCCTCCTCCCCCTCCTCTCCTCCTCCTCCTCCTCCTCCTCCTCCTCCCCTCCTCCTCCCCCCCTCCTCCTCCTCCTCCTCCTCCTCATTCTCCCATTCTCCTCCTCCCTCCTCCTCCTCCTCCTCCTCCTCCTCCTCCTCCTCCTCCTCCTCCTCCTCCTCCCTCCCTCCCTCCTCCCTCCTCCTTCCCCCCCCCCCTCCTCCTCCTCCTCCTTCTCTCCTCCTCCTCCTCTTCCTCCTCCTCCTCCTCTCCTCCTCCTCCTCCTCCTCCTCCTCCTCCTCCTCCTCCTCCTCCTCCTCCTCCTCTCCTCCTACTCCTCTCAAAAGTCCTCGCTCCTCTCGACCTGCCCAGGGGTGCGTTCCGGCAAACGGAGGTCGAGGCGGACCCAGCCCCGTCGCCGCGAGGAGGCCCACATACGACCTGCTAAGAATGTTACACGCAGCACCTCGATGTTCGGCCTTCGGGGTGGAGAATCTCGGCCAGATGTCGAACCCGGATCTTCGCTCCTCGATCCTCGATCTTCGGGATGCTCGATCCTCGATCTTCGAATCTCGTTCGGGCTTGGTTCCTTCATCCTCGGTCTTCGGGATGGAGAGCTGCTTCAGACGTCGGACGTCCAGGTCGTGCGCTCCGCCAGGAGAGGCGGTGCGCTCGGGGGGAAAGGCAGAGCGGGCAGGCCTCCTGAAGAGGCGACGGGGCTTCTCGGAGGCTCTACGGCCTTCTGAGGCGCCCTCTGTGTCTTCTTCGGAGAATTCGACCTCCGAACAAGTGTGATAAGTGTGATAAAGAACAAGTGTGGTAAAGAAGAAGCAAGCGTGATAAACAGAAGTGTGACAAAAAACAAGTGTGATCACACTTGATGGTTTATTACACTTGTTTGTTTATCACACCTGCTTTTGTATCACACTCGTTTTTATCACACCTGTTCATCACGCTGTGGTATCACACGTTTTTGCCAAAGTTTTTTGTCTGTTCGCACACTTGTTTTTTCATAACACTTTTGCATCGCACTTTTGTTTGTTACACTTGTCAGAAGGCCAGAGGTCCCTGGAGCCTTCTGCGAAGGCCTTTTCCCTCTGCCGTCCCCCCTGTTCGTGCGCTCCACCAGAGCTGCCCCGGCGCCCTCCCCCCTTCCGTGGCCACCGCGGGGCCTCACAGGCAGCCGGCCGCGGAGCAGACCGACGGGGACAGCGCGGGCCTCGCGACGGAGGGCTGCCGGCAGAGAGGTCCTGCTGGGAGGAGGAGGAGGAGGAGGAGGAGGAGGAGGAGGAGGAGGAGGAGGCGGAGGAGGAGGAGGAGGCGGAGGCGGAGGAGGAGGAGGAGGAGGAGGAGGAGGAGGAGGAGGAGGAAAGAGGAGGAGGAGGAGGACGAGGAAGGGACTGCAACACATGTCAGGAGCCATTTGCTGCTGGTCGCGATGCACAGAGTTTCACAGCTGATGCCCTGGTTCACCGCGACGTGGCAACATCTTGCACCATTTCATTGTAAATGCCGCTCCCGGGAACGGCCTTCGGCAACCTTTCTGCATCCCGCCCTGCTGGAGGAAAGATGATGGAGAGGAGGGAAGGGCTTCAAGCCATTGTGCGTTTGATGACACTCTGAACAACATAGCCGTTGAACGTTCACACAGCAGGATAGTGCGTTCATGCTACATGACCACATAATAACTAAAATAAGCATGCGGGCTTTCTCGGCAGCGTATTTCTCCAACGGCGGGGTCTTGTATAAGCCCCCTGTCCTCCTGCTGCAGTGGAGGCCACTCCACAAGGACCCGTCCACAAAAAAAAACAGCCCCGAGACCCCAGGATGCCGCTTGATTTCTGGTGTGGGAACGCCACGCATGCCATGGCACACCCATCGAAGCCCAGGAAGCCCGGGGCACCCTGGAGGCGAGCAGGGTGCCTCTTGGCACGGGCTTCCGCTGCAGTCTCCCTCGCTCTCCCCTCCGCGCCGCTTCACCGCCGGCCTGCGGCCCCACCCTGGCTGCCCACCCCCGCGCGCGGGCCAGGGACCAGGAGGAGGAGGAGGAGGAGGAGGAGGAGGAGGAGGAGGAGGAGGAGGAGGAGGAGGAGGAGGAGGAGGAGGAGGAGGAGGAGGAGGAGGAGGAGGAGGAGGAGGAGGAGGAGGAGGAGGAGGAGGAGGAGGAGGAGGAGGAGGAGGGAGAGGAGGAGGAGGAGGAGGAGGAGGAGGAGGAGGAGGAGGAGGAGGAGAGGAGGAGGAGGAGGAGGAGGAGGAGGAGGAGGAGGAGGAGGAGGAGGAGGAGGAGGAGGAGGACCCTCTGCCCCCCCACCCAGCCTTCCGCCAGGCCCGCACTTCCGCGGCGAGACCGGCGCGGCGGAGAGGCCGCCGGTCCGCGCGCGGCTCCCGCCGGAGGGCCCCCAGAACGGTGCAGAGGGGCCACGCCGCGCGGTGACTCGGCGGGGCTTCGGGGTGCTGGGTCCCCATCCAGACAGGGGTCATTTCGATTCCTCCGATTCGATTCGAATCGATTTCGGCGGCTTCCGATTCCGATTCGATTCGACTTGGGATTCCGATTTGATTCCGATCTCTCAGCGGAGGCCTGCAAGCCTGCCGATTTCCGCCGATTCGACTTCTCCCGACTCGGCTGCCGATTTCCGCCGATCTGATTCATTTCGATCGCCGATCCGACAGATCGATTCGATTCTGGGTTCTCCTGTCAGGGTGCGTCTCGGGCGGCGTGGGCCTCGAAAAGCCCCCAAAACCGTGCGGTGAGGTGCTCGGGGGGTTCGAGGTCACCGCCCGGTCTGTCGCCGCACGCTTCGCGGCCCCCGCTCCCAGACATCCCAGGATGGTTCTTGTTCCATCCTGGCGTTTGGTCCGCATTCTCGGCTTCCGGCATCCCCAGTTCGCTCCCAGGGTCATCAAACATTGTTATGGCACGAAAAATTGTCCTTCCAGAGAGGGGCGGGAGTCTGGGGGCTGCGGATTGCCGCGGATTGAAATAAACGCGTCGTCGGATGTGGGGTCCATCCCTGCGCGCGCCCCCCTGCCTTTTGCTACCACCACGCGTCCATTCCTCCCGTCACTCCTCGCTTTTTGACGAGAATACATGCCAGCTCGCTGCTTGGGCCCCGCCAGCAAACCAAACGGCGAGCGCAAATCGGGCGCAGCCCAGCAGAACCTTCCGTGCGCTTGAGGCCGCTGTCTCCACCGTGGTCGGGCGCTTCGGGTTGCGCACAGGCGGCCCCCTCTGGTAGTCCCGGTTGGCCTCAACAGGCCCCCCGAGGATCACAAATCTTTGCCACGCACATCCTCTCACGGTAGGTTTGCGTCGTGTCGACCAGCGGCGACCCCAGCGCGGGCGTTCAAGGTTGAACGCCGCCGGCGACCCGGAATCGATCGATGTTGAACGATCGGACGTTGCGGCAGCGGCCGATCGTTCAAGGTGGAACGATCCCTGCGGTGTCAAAAACCAACGCTGGGGTCGGCACGACACGAACCTGCCGTATCTCCATCCGTGCAGGTGTGACGACGTGGATCCGCGAAGGCATCGACCCCTTCCACGGGACTGGCTTGCAGCCCCCTCTGGTAGTCCCGGTTGGCCTCAACAGGCCCCCCGAGGATCATAAATCATTGCCACGCACATCCTCTTATCTCCATCCGCGCCCTGGACGCAGGTCAGGACAGACCGAACTGTAGGCTGCTGCAGCTCATGGGCACCTGCATGTGGTTGCACGTGGGCCGGGACCCTGCCTCAGATAGCACCCAGCCAGGAAGTGGCAGTAACATTTTGGGATGTGCATGCAGATGTCGCTCGGGGGAAGGGCCGGTCCTTTATCTCCATCCGTGCAGGTGTGACGACGTGGATCCGCGAAGGTCGCGACCCCTTCCACGGGACTGGCTTTACACACCGCGGGCCGAGGTGTGACAGTCCTTGTGCTCTGTGGTGGCGCCCGAGGCCCGACAAGGCACCCAACAACATCTCATTACGTAGCCACTTTGCCTCAAGTTGCACCTCTTCTATCTATCTATCTATCTATCTATCTATCTATCTATCTATCTATCTATCTATCTATATCGATCTATCTATCTATCTATATATATGCATATATGTATGGACATATATATATTCTATATGTTTATGTATCTTTATGCTACATATATATATATATATGTATATATATATATAGATCTATCGATATCTATATCTATATCTATATATATCTATGTATGTCTCTCTCTCTCTCTATATATATATATATTTATACAGGGCCACGCCCCCGCCAGGGCGAGCTGCACCACCTGGGATGTCTTTCTGGACTGTCTGCAGACAGAGGTGGGCCCTGGTGACCGTGGGTGGTAGCGGTCTCTTGGCGGGAGGCTGAGATCCAGGCCTCCCAGACGGTGTCCGAGCAGATGGGGTCGAAGGATCGCGCCGCATCGGCGGCTCGATGAGGAGCCCGACTTTTGTTCGCGCTGGCGTCGCCGATTCATCGGCGACGTCGCCGCTGCATCGCCGATGCATCGCCGATGCATCGTCGATGCGACGCGATCCTCCGACCTCATCTACTCGGACCCCATCTGGGAGGCCTCTATAAGACCTCTACCTCATCGGCGAGGTGGAGAAGGTCCTCGAGACGAACTATGTCTATGGCTGGTCGAATGACGAGGGCGACTGCGTAACGGAGGAGGAGTTTAAGGGGTTCTTCGCAATGTTTCCGTCTGCCGCTCTTTGGGGCGCGGTAGCGTGACAGATCATTTGTGGAATTTTTGCGGACCGGATTGGGCGCAGGAACATGTTCATCTTCATTGGTAGTTTTGGCGTCTTTGACGATTTGTCCTCTCCAGACGCTTGGGCAGGGGCCTGACTTCATGCTCAACCAGCTCGTCGTGATCTGTTGTATCCTCGGCGTCGGCATCGGCATCGGCGCAGAGGGTACAGCACCGCGCAAGCGAGCGACGATTATGTCGTATTGCTCTTCCCGAACCAGGGGTTCGGGTATCTGTTGGCCCCAAGCATCATGATGATACCGGCCTGCATGGAGGTGTAATTGTTGTTGTTGTTAGCGTTTCCCATTTTTGTGGCATGGTTTTGCCAAGTCTCTCTTGGCTCTTCTGCGTGAAGATTCACGTGAGCTACGATTTTACTAAGGTGCTGGAGTCCAGGGTCTATGGCGCCCGCGGTGTGGACATTGCTTCAATTGCGTACCCGTACGCATGTCACGTCTTGGGGACCGTGTGCAGTATGCTCATCTTCGACATAGTTTTCTACGCGAATTCCCTCTTCAATGCTGACGCCCTCAGAATGATTGGTGTGGGGCCTGGTGGCCTCAAGTCGGTGATGCTGAAAACTCTCGTGGCAGTTCTCAACCACTCATCATGCTCCCTGGCTGTTTCGTGGGCGTCGCACTCATTCACCAGTCAGGCAGTAAGGCCACTCATATTCACATACTCTGCAGCATAAGCCTCTGGTTCGGAGTGTGTGGGAGACTCGTTTCCAGTCTAAGGATCTGCCTGGACTCTTCGTTATTGTTTATGGGTTGATGGTTTTCTTCGCAGATGCTGGGCTCGATGTTTCCACGTGCGCAATTCCTGGAGGGCCGGACCCTTCTCAGGCCAAAGCCGGTTTGCATGGCTGTTCGGCTGCAGCGGGGAAGCTCGGTGCGACAATCGGCCCCATGGTCATGCCTTTCGTGATTGGGCAGCCCGCGACGCCAGACGGCATCCGCTTGGCGATGCTCATCTGCTCAGGCCTGGCGACGGGCGGTTTGGTACTCGCCCCCCTCCTGACCCCGAGCGGTGGCCCCAGGCGATCTCGAGCCACGGGAGAGCGAGGAGACGGTCGGGCTCGAGCGCGTGCCTCTCCGGAGGAGGGTGAAGCAGCGCGAGTGGAATGCACCACTGGGCGAGGGCACCGAGGAGGAGCCCGACGCCGACGGCGAGGGGCTGTGCAAGCGGGGCGCGGGCAGGAGCCGCGGCCGCGGCCGGCGGCCCCGCGCTCGCTCTGCCGCCTGGGCGCGACGCGTGGGGCCACGAGCCCACCCGCCTGGTAGAAGCGCTGCCGCCACCTGGGCTCGCAGCGGGTCCTTCTGCGACCCCAGTCGGGTTCCTCCCCCCTCTCCCTCCCCAGACCCCTTGGGGCAATGAAGAAGTCATGACGGGAGGTTTTGCCTGAGTCTCGGCCTCTGGAGGCCCGTACCGGCCCTCGGGACCGTCAAAAAACGACTCAGGATGGAGAACCGGTCCAGGGGAATGGGTCGAGACCTCTGAGGGCCCACGTTATGCCAAAATCATGACGTCGGGCGTCTGGGTCCTATCCTCCTTTCAGGGCTTTCTCGTCCTGGCGTGGCCTGTGCTGCAGGTGAGCTCAAAAGAGCTCTGAAGAGAGAGGACCGGTCAGGCCGCGCGGAGAAGAAGCAACTTATCCTGGCGAAGGGCCCAGCCGTATGCAAGTGTGAGTCCCGCAGGGCAAGTAGGGCGAAGGGAGGGGGAACTCGGGGCCACGAAGCGTGTGAGAGGTGCGCCGAAAAGGGCCCAACCGTTTGGGGGCCTTCGGTGGAGTTTCCTACGGGGCCCACGGAGCGCGTGAGGGGTGTGCCGAAATGGGAGGCGGGAGGGCGCGCGTACCCTGCCACTGGGGCCTTCGGTGGAGCTCCATGCGGGGCCACGATTCGTCGGCACATTTCGTCGAAACGTGTCGGGGGAGTGCCGGCATGAGATGCGGCAGCGCGTGCGAACCCTGCCGCTGGGGCCTTCGGTGAAATGCCAGTCCCCGTGGAGCCACGAAACGTTTGAGGGGGGAGGGGGTCGAAATGGGAGGCGGGAGCGCGGGCGAACCCTGCCACGAGGGCCCTCGGTAGAGTTCCCGATGGGGCCACAAAGCGTGCACGGGAGCGATGGAGGAGGCGTGAGGAGTGACGCGGGTCTCTGCTGAGTCAAAACGACGACTCGTCACCACCGGATGGTTGGGAATGAGGGTGAGGAGGAGGAGGAGGAGGAGGAGGAGGAGGAGGAGGAGAAGGAGGAGGAGGAGGAGGTCGGTCGTCGTCGAACGTCTGAATGGGCCGAGGAGGGAGATGGGAGGAGGAAGGGAAAGAGGGAGGAATGTCGCGGACCCCTGCTGTTCCAAAAAGAGGGCCCAACGCCACAGTTCGGTTGTGAGTGAGGATGACGAGGAGGAGGGAGGAGAGCGGAGGGAGGGAGGGAGGTGGCGGGAGGAGTTGCGCACAGCTCTGCTGCTTCAAAGCAGGGACCCCAGACCACAGCATGGCTGGGGGAAAGGCCCATCGCAACCTCCCGCTGTGTGCACGGCCTGCCTGGCCCTCCATGCCTCCGTCCTCCTCCTCCCACCTGAGCAGCGCATCCATCCTCGCGCCTCCCTCCATCCCTCCGTCCCCTCCTGGCTCTCCATGCCTCCGTCCTCCTCCTCCCACCTGAGCAGCGCATCCACCCTCGCGCCTCCCTCCATCCCTCCGTCCCCTCCTCCTCGTCCCCTCCACTCCGGTCCTCCCCAAATTTCTCCACCTCCGTCCCTCCGTCCTCGGCCTCCCACCTGTCATGTCGAGGCAACGGTGACCCCAGGAAAACTAAACAGGACCCTAGCAAAACTAAACGAGACCCTAGGACAACTAAACAGGACCCGACCAAAACTAAACGAGACCCCAGGAAAACTAAACAGGACCCTAGCAAAACTAAACGAGACCCTAGGAAAACTAAACAGGACCCTACCAAAACTAAGATTCAACGCCGCCGGAGGCCCGGGACCGGCCGACGTCGAACGATCTGCGCCCTCGGGAAGCCGCGGTGGCAGAAGCCGGCGCCAGGACCGTCACGACCCAAACCTGCCGTAAGGTTTTCTTTGTAAGTGGCTGATGGGGCAGAAACGGTCATCGTGATAACAAAGTCATCTTACGAAGTTCAAGTTCAAGGTTGTTGAAATTCTGAAGTTCGGAAAAAGTTCGGGTAAAGATCGGCGGCGAGAAAAGAGTTCGGACAAAGTTTGGAACAAGTTCGAATCATTTCCGCGCCGACCGAAAAGGGAGGACCCCGCCATGTCCTCTCTAAGGGGGGGATGGTGCGAACAGCGCCCCTGGCGGCGCAAGATTTATGGTTCTCCCCCCGCGGCTACGGAGGCTACTGAGCTGCGGAGTTTCAGCTTCGGGTCGCCTGCTTTGATTCGCGTGACATCGAAAGACGCCGCTCCGGCGATTTTGGGCAGCTCACACACACACACATATATATATATATATATATATATATATACATTTTTATATATATATATATATATCTATATAGTCATTGGCCCAGTAGTTTTTTACAGCTTCTCGTGGACTCGTATTATCGGCTTCTGGGGGGTGACCTGTGCTCCGGGGAGGCTGCAGCACCGCTCAACGACTGTTTTCCTATGCACTTCAGGGCTTCGGCTTCAGCTGTGGGTGCGCCGTGAAGCGCCATTGGGCCAGCTCACCGAGTCGGTTTTCCGCTCGCACGGGTGCCTCCCTCCCCTCCCCCTCTCCATCCCTACAGCCTCCCCCCGCCCCGTGCCTCCGTCGAGGCCTCTGGAAACTGCGAGCAGCGGCGACCTGAGGCGCGTTGGGGTGGGGGAGGGGCAATCTCAAGGAGCGGTTGGCGGGCGACGCGGGCGCGCGTGTCGATCGAGCTGCTCGCCCCTTTTACAGGTCGCACCTTTGAGTCGTTGCAACTCGGCGGGGTGCCACTGGGTTGTTTTTTGTTTTTGTGTCCCCCAAACAGTGCTTGCACTTGCCGTAGCCGTTTTGGCTCAAGGATTTTGCGATCAAGGGCAGAGGAACAGGAAAGTTCCGGTTCGGTTCGGTTCGGTTAGGTTCCGAAGTGCCTCCGGTTCGGTTCGGTTCGGTTCGGTGTCGTAATCTTCCGGTTCGGTTCGGTTCGGTTCGGTTCGGTGCGTCTATTTTTTGTTTCCGGTTCGGACCGGTTCCTGTTCCGGTTCGGTCTTGTTCCGGCCAGATCGCCGTCGAGGAGCGGTTCCGACCCGAGCCGATCCGATTTCGTTGCCCTCCGTTCGATGCCGATGTCTCGGAGGAGGAGGAGGAGGAAGAGGAGGAGGAGGAGGAGCCGGGGCGGCTCGATTCGATTGACCGGTCCCGTTCGGTTCGGTCCGACCGGTCCAGTTCAGTTCGATTGCGACGCTGGGCGCCCCGTCTGCGTTCCCAGACCCCCGACGTCATGATTTTTCGCAGGCGATTTCTCTCCCCCAATCCCCGACTTCCGCCAGAAAAGTTTGGTCGCTCAGAAAAGGGGAGGAATCTTGGGATACATCCCGAGGGGGCTATTCGGACGCACCCCTGTCGAGCATGGACACCCCCCCCATCGTATATCCCAGGGTTGGGCCCCAAATTTCTGGTCCATTTGGAAACCCCACGAAGCCTGGGATAGGGGTCGACACATCCCCTGTTAATTTTTTCATTACGTCGACCCCTGGAGGTCTCGACCCATTCCCCTGGACCGGCTTTGCATCCTGAGTCGTTTTTTCACGGTCCCGAGGTCCGGCGAGGGCCCCCGGAGGCCGAAAATTAGGAAAAACCTCCCGTCGTGATTTTTTCATTACTCGAGGGGGTCTGCGTTGGAAGAGAAGAAAAGGGAGGGGGAGAAAGAGGAGGGGGAAGAGGGGGAGGAACGAGGAGCAGGGCCACCCGCGGCGGGGGCCCAGGGCGTCGAGGTTGCGACGGCCCTGGCCGCGGCGTCGTCGTCGTCGTCGTCGTCGTCGTCGTCGTCGTCGTCGTCGTCGTCGTCGTCGTCGTCGTCGTTCGACGATCGAGGCGTCGTTCGACGATCGAGGCGTCGAGATTCGAGAAGGTTTTTCGTTATGTTCGGCCCCTGGAGGCCGCTTCTGGGCCCCGGGGCCGCCGGAAATCGATCCAGGGCGAACAGCTGCGTCGGATGGACCCTGGAAGCGGTCTGGAGACAGATGTTTGGTGATTGTTTGTTTTGATGTGCTCATCGGCGGCTTCCGATGTTTTGTTTCTGCCTGTTTCGGTTTCTGGGCGCCCTCCGAGATCCCTGGTGGCTCCAGGGGGGTCCCGGGGGATTTCGGCATCTCGTCGTCGATCCGTCCCTCCTTCGCTTTCTCTCCGCGGCCCCGGGCCCCGACCCGCCCCGACCAGGATCCGTCTCGATCCGACCGTCCGCCACCTCGTCGACGTCGTCGTCCTCCCCGTCGTCGGTCGTCGCCGACCGGGGGGAGGCCGCTGTCATCAGCCCATTGGCTGCCAGGCAATCATCAGGAGGAAAAGAAACACACAGACACAATTAATCCTCGATTCCCAGAAAATATGGGAAAATATGGGAAGTGGGGGGGAAGACAAAAACCCAGAAAATATGGGAAAATATGGGGGATATTTTTATTTGTGTGTATTTATTTGTGTGTCCCAGTTCCCCTTCAAATCAACCGCGCCCTTGAACTGGATCTCACTCCACTTCGCGCCCACAACAGGGTCAGCTTGCAAGAGGGCAAGCATCGCCAACGCAAGCTCAGCGCCACGGGGCGCACGCAGGAATCCCGCGCGACCGGCGAGAGCTGCACGCCAGCTGAAAGCCCGCGCGCCTGCACGCCGACGCGCCAGGAGGACGAGAGGAGAGCTGCACGTCAGCTGATGGCCACTACGGGCCACGAAGGGGCACAACGCAGCAAGCTCCCCTGAGCCACCCAGGACCTGGGACCCCAGCGGGCGTGGTCGCAGTGGACCCGAAGGCAAGTGGCCGCCATGGACCAGGGAAGAGGCCCCACTGGGCGCGAGGTCACGGCGGACCGGGGGAGTCCAAAGCGAGGACCTGAGGAGAGGGCCCCATTGGGCAAGTGAACGCAGCAGGCCGCTATGGGCCGCAACGGAGCCACTATGGGCCGAACGAAGCCACTATGGGCCGAACGAAGCCCCAGCGGGCGGAGGGCCGAAACCCGACACACGGCACGGTATTTATATTCCGCCCTAGTACCAGGCGGAGGAAGCACGGCACGGCACCGCACCACACGACGCGAGCAGGAGGCGGACGCGGGTCGGCCAGCGCGCGGCCGACCAGCCGAGCGAGGGCGCCCCCGCGGCCAGCCGCGGGGTCGTTACCAGCGCGGGCGGATTCGTGCCAGGCAATAACTCCGCTATTCCGACCCCCAAAAAATAGTGCTTGCACTTGGGGGCTCTGGTTTGCACCCCTAATTAGAGGATTGGATTCGGATGGGTCCAGCGAGGACTTCTCCACGTTGTCGCCCGTGGCTGCCTCGCGGCCGCCTCGTGCGCTGGGCGGCTCCAGGGAGGTGTTCGCCACGGGATCGCCTGTGGCCGCCTCGTGGCCGCATCTTGCGCTGGATGGGCCACCGAAGCCGGCAAGGTTTCGCCACGCCGTCGCCCGTGGCCGCCCCGTGGCCGCACCGTGCGTGCACCGGACAGCTCACATCACAGCGGCTGCACCGCATGGCTCACGCGTCGTAGCTCGCACCACACTTAGGTTGAGCCACGTAGCTTCAACGGCGCATGGCGTCCATCTTACACCAATTAGATTTGCACCACAGATACAAGTTTGCACCACAGAGCTCACACCACGCAGACCGCACCCACCTGGTTTATACCACACAGCTTACAACGCACACGTTGCACCACATTGCTGACACCACATCGATTAGACCACGACGTAGGTGAAACCACATAACTTACACCGTATATCTCACACCACATATCTAATGGCCTTCGACCCATCCTGCCACCGTGCCTGGGTTGTGGGTCATAGGCCTCTAGGCTGTTCGTTAGGATGTCGCGGGAGGTCTCTCGGGGGCCTTTAGGATGCTCTTTTTTGGGGCCCCGTGGGGCGTCTTGGAGGTCTCCTTGGGGCCTCTTGGGTGGCTCTTTGGGCCTCCTGGGAGCATCTTGGGACGGAAGCTCGAACTGTTGGTTCGGGCTCCCACTCTTGGGTCTCTCTTGTGGCCAACTTGGGCCGCCTTGGGCGCTTCTAGGGCCGCCTTGGGCGCTTCTAGGGCCGTCTTGGGGCCTTCTTGGGCCGTCTTGTGGCCTTCTTGGGGGCCTCTTGGCCGTCTTGGGGGCCTCTTTGGGACGTCTTGGAGCGCCGGAAGCTCGAAAAGTCGAGAACCGCAAACACATTGACAACCTCACGGGAAATCCCTGATTTTGCCTCTTGGGCCGTTCTGGGGGCCTCTGCGGCCGTCTTAGGGCCCTGCTTTGAGCCGTCTTGGAGCGTGCACTCGGCGACTTTGATGCCGTCTTGGACCGTCCGTTCGGCCTCCTGGCGCCCTCGTTGGCCCCAAAATCTTCTGCAACACTCGATGCGCCCCAGGTGCGCCGGGAACCCCAGGAAGTTGTGGTCCACGCGTTAATCATTGAAGAAGAGAACAGGTTTTATCATACATCATAAACTGTTGGCGCTGCGCGCGGATTTTTTGAATCTGCGCTGGGCCCACCCCCGCGGCGCCTCCGGCGCCGCCCCTGGCGCGCTCCGTGCGCTGGGAAGGGGGGTCCAGCGCATGTCCAAGAAATCCGCGCGGAGCGCCACAAGTTTATGTTTATGCAGTTTTTCTTTTCTAGTTGTGGTCCAGGCCCTTGAGATAATCCTCGTCATTGAGGACTGAGACTTGAGGGATTAGGCAAGCGACCTGGGGCACGCGGTGGCGGATATGGCACTACACATGTTGCGCTGCAGAGTTTGCATCTCACAGCTCACATCACATCACATAGATCACCCTTTTGTGTATCACACCACAAAGCTTGCACATCCAGAGTGCAACATCTGACTGTTTTAGGCCCACGCTGGCAAACACCGAGTCGATCGCCTCTAGTCGTTCTGTCGAGGTTCAAATCTTACATCATTCACGCACGAAGTTGTACGCACACCATGTTTATGTATACACCTACTGGCACGTATATCACCTTGTTATGTGATTCCTTCATGCATTCCTGATTGCTAATGTGTCCACATTCAGCCGAAAAGCGACAAAGTTTTGGCGCAGGTGGGCTTCCTTGCCTGGTTGCCCAGAATGTGGTTTGCGATCGTTTGTCTCGTCTGATTGTACATGTCTGTGGTAGCGGTGATGCTTGTCATCCGATCTGATTCATGCCGTTCCCAAGCCGGGATTCGGCCAACAGGGTTTGAGATTCAGTGCCTTTCTCATCCCCGACCTTTTTGTACCATGTCGTGTCGGCCCTTTCGGGTCCCCTGCAGAGGCCTTCGCCAGGTGCCAGGGCCATCATCAAAATCCCAGGTTGACAAGCGGGTACCGGGGAAGGTGTCTACACCGTTCGGGGTCCTGTGAATCGTCTGAGACATTTCCCTCATGCTGCTCTTTGTCCTTTCCGCCCCCCCCTCTCATCCTGCCCATCCTGTTCATGTTCTTCTTCCTTACTAGGAGGGGGGGCTTCTGGAGCAGGGGGCAGAATGAGCCAGGAGCCAGGGAAAGGAGGAGGACAAGAGTAAATCCAAGACACAACGATATTGCAACACACCCTGCCATTAAGTTCCCAATGTATGCTGCTGGAAGTGCCCCGTTGGGAGACAAACGTCTGAGAATCTTGAATCGTGCCAAAACACCACTCCTTCGACGTCAACGCCGCGAATCAACTTTCCTGTTGCGTCCTGGCGATCCTGCATCGTGCCAGAACGCCGTTCCTGTGATTTCAACTCAGCGAAAGAACTTGACTTTTGCGCCCTGACAATCCTACGTCGTGCCGGAATTCAGTCCCGGGATGTCAACAATAAGAATCGGTTCAGCAATTTCTGTTGTTTGAACGCCGGATGCACGCGACGCTAAGGGGAGGGCCACATTTTGAAAATGAGCCGCCCTCGATCCGTGAAGTTCTTGCTGGCTTTTCGGACGAATGTGTGCGGCGCTCAGGCGAGGGCCACATTTTGAAAACGACCCGCCTTGAATCCGCGCAGTTCTTGCAGCTGTTGACATCGAATGTGCGCGGCGCTAAGGCGAGAGCCACATTTTGAATCCGGCGCGCCCCCCCTCCACGCAGGTACGCGGCGCTCAGCCGCGAGCCACATTTTGAAAACGACCCGCCCACCATCTGTGAAAACATTGCGTACTTTTAAGATGGATGTGCGCGGTGCTCAAGTGAGAGCCACATTTTGAAACCTACCCGCCCTCCATGCGTGAAGCTCTTGCACAAGCTTAAGAAGAATGTGCGCGGCGCCCAAGCGAGAGCCACACTTCGAAACGAACCGCCGTACACCTGTGAAACTCTTGCAAACTTGTACGACTGATGTGCGAAGCGTAAGGCGAGAGCCGCCGTGTTGAAAACGGCCCGCCCTCAATCCGCGAAGCTCTTGCATACGTTTGAAGGAATATGCGCGGCGCTCAGGCGAGAGCTACATTTTGAAAACGACTCGCCCTCCATCTGTGAAGCTCCTGCAGTTTTTCAAGCCGAATGTGCTCGGCGCTCAGGCGAGACCCACAGTTTGAATACGAACCGCTCTCCGTCCGTGCAGCTCTTGCAACTCTTGGAATCGAATGTGCGCGGCGCTTCGGCGAGAGCCACATTTTGAGAACGACCCGCCCTCCATCTGAGGAGCTCTTGCAATTTTCAAGACGAATGTGCGCGGCGCTCAGGCGAGCACCACATTTTGTGAACGGCCCGCCCTCCATCCGTCAAGCTCTTGCAACTGTTGGAACCAAATTTGCTCGGCGCTCAGGCGAGAGCCACATGTTGAAAACTACCCGTCCTCCGTCGTTTAAGCAGTTCCAGATTTTAAGCTCAAGGTCGTAAGCGGAGGGGAGACTCAGGCGAAACGCCTGGCCCGCCCTACGGACAAGTCTGTGGGCGCGACAGAGAGGAGTTATTCATCAGGAAAATGAATGGAGGACGCGTGGCTCGCCCCAACATGACAGCTGCCTGCCCGATCGTGCCGCGGCAGGTACGAGGGGTTCATGTTCCCTCACAAGCTCGACCGCGGGTGCCTCGAGGAGGAGGAGAAGGATGACGACTCTTCCGACGAGGACGTGGGTAATATGTATCCGAAGTTGTAGTCTGCGCAAACAGAACGGAGGAGGAGGTTGGAGAGGAGAAGGAGGGGAGGTTTATGCAGACCTATCCAAGGACACGGACCCGCCAGAGTCTCAGTGGGGTCTCAGCTTCCCGCAGTCCCTCATGAATGCCGACTGCGTCCTCCCGAAAGACCCAGTGGAGCGGGAGAAGTGGGTGAACCGGGGGTGGAGAGCAGCTCAATGTTGTGGCGGCACGTTGCTGGTACTCGCGCTGATCTTCGACGAGATGGACTGAGCACAGCGGGGTGTCTGATTCGGCTCTGCTTTGGGTTCGGGTCGGTCAGGGAAACAGAGTGGAGTTGGAGAAGGCACGACCCATGTGCCCCGCTTCGGGATGCTGAGCCGTCCGTGGCGCTGCATGTTGCAGTTTGCTCTTATGAACATGCCCCCCGCAGCGCACCGCGCAGACCAGAGATCGAGGTAGCGAAGCACTTGCTAGGCCTCCCAGACTAGAACATCACATCTCGAGTTTCGTGACTGTGGTAGGCGGCCTCGGTTGTGCGCCTCGGTTGTGCGGCAGCGCCCCGATGCTTGGTGATGGCGACCCGAAGGCTAACCCCAGGGTAAGGATTGTGCGCCGATGGTGGCTGGATGGTCTGTTGGTGGTGTATTGGCGGCCAGTTGATGACGTCGAGGTTGTTTCCCTATGGCTTCCTAGTTGTGCCCCTATGGTGTCCTGACGTCTATAAGGTCTTGCAGACAGTTGTAGACTACCTGTACGTCCAATGCGAATTGACCGTCAATATGGTGCTCCCAAGCTAATCTAAAACACATGTGATGGAACGGCAAATCAAATGGAGGGATCCTGTGAACCACATGTTTGCCACAAGTGGGCTGTACCGCTACCCAAACATGAGTAGCATTTCAAGTTGGGTGCGATTCAAGTATAAGTATACTTCATGCTGCTGCCAAACGTGAAGCACATTGGATTTGGGGTTCGCAGGTCACTTCCGGGTGTAAGGGCCGATCCGCAAGTCCCCTGTGGTGCTCGACCTTCTCCTCCTTCGCCTCCTCCCTCTCATCCCTCTCCCCCCCTGTCTCCATCGTCGTGCGCTGTGTGAATACAGTATCGCTGGCCGTCTGGACCTCCAGGGATATGCGCATTCAGGACGGTCGCTTACTCGTCGATGTCACGGTCATAGTTGTGTTCGCTTATCACAGGCGTCTTGTGTGGGGTTCTTGGTGTTCAGTGTGAGTCGAACGCGATGCGTTGGTTACTCTAACGCGGGTCGGTTTCGACTCGCATTTGAGATGGCCACTTGCATTCACATTGGATCATTCGTGACTCGAGTTTTACCCGAATGCGTACCATCCCGATGCAAATGCGACTGGGGGTGGGCGGCATGGGAAATTACCTGCGAGGCATGGGAACTTTCAACAGCCCCATGGGTCCTTGGCCGTTCGAACCGGTGCTTCTCTACCTCGATCGGTCTGCTGCCCACTCGAGATTCTCTGTGTGGCCCAGAGCCCTGAGCAGGCTTGGCCGCGCGGCGCTGGGGAAGCTAGCCGCCAGGTGCGGACCCTGTGGCGGTGCTCTCCCACGTGCGGGAGGAGGAGGAGGAGGAGGAGGAGGAGGACGAGGACGAGGAGGAGGAGGAGGAGGAGGAGGAGGGTGAACAATGTAAACCCAATATTTGTCAAAGATGTTGGAATCGACCCTCCCTCACAGCTCCCTCGGCATAGGCTCCATACACTGGTTCAGATCCACTGAAGGAAGGACCCCGTTGGGAGACGACCGTTTGACGATCCTAAAGCGTGCCGAAGCACCATTCTCATGACGTCAACGCCACGGGTAAACCTGACTGTTGCGTCTTGACGATCATGCATCGTGCCAGACCACGTTCACCATGAGAATCAGTCAAATTTTCCCAACTATGTTCAAACGAATGTGCGCGGCGTTCTGGCGAGAGCTACATTTGTTTAAAGGAACCGCCCTCAACCCGTGAAGTCCTTGCAAAGTTTTAATTCGAATGCGCGTGGCGCTGAGGCGAGAACCACATTTTGAAAAGGAGCCGCCCTCAATATGCTAAGTTCTTCGAATGTGTATAGCGAGTGTGTGCGGCGCTAAAGCGAGAGCCATTTTCTGAAAACCACCTGTGCTCAATGCGTGAAGCCCTTGCAGGGTGTTAAAACGAATGTGCGCGGCGATCCGGCGAGAGCCACCATTTTGAAAACCACTTGCCCCCAATCCGCGAAGATCTTGCAGATGTTTGGAGCGAGCGTGCGCGGCATTCATGCGAGAGCCACATGTTGAAAACGAACCGTCCGAAGCTCTTGTCAGTTTTGAAAGCTCAGGCTCATGAGGGGTAAGGAAGTCTCAGGCGAAGCGCCCGCCCCGCCTTTCGGCAGGGAGGAGTTATTCATCAGGAAAGGGCATGGAGGAGGAGAAGGAGGAGCGGGCGAAATTTGGGGAGAAGGAGGGGAGAATGTGTGTGTGTGTGTGACCCTCCTCCAACTGTGTGGCGGAAGATCTGGCGTCACTTTTGAGAGGTATTTGGGAGGCTTGGCCCTTCGGCGCTTGTGATAAGCTCTGAGCTCTGGGGAGGGGGGACCCAGGATTTGGGGGGTGGACCTGGATTCAGCAACGGATCGATGCTAGACCTGAGTGGAGAGCGGCAAAGGCTGGTCTAGCACCTTTGCCTCGCCTTTGGCGGGGTGGGGGTGCACCCTGCTATGGCGAAGGCCCTACGGCCGCTGCCGCCGACCCGGAAGGGGGACGGCGGCGACGGCGACGGCGACGGCGACTGCGACGGCGACGGCAACGACACGAAGACGAGAAGGCGAGCATGGGAAGAAGCACATAGCATCCGAGTTGCAATCCGTGATGTTCGCTTCTGGGGGCCCTCTTCGGCCCCCTTTGGGGTCCGCATGGCGCCCTCTTGGAGCGTTTTGAGGGTTTCCGAGGATGTCTCGAGGTTACCTTATGCCGTCTTGACGCGACCTTTGGCTGGCTGTGTCAGGGCCCTCTTGGAGCAAGCCGCGGTACAAGTGGGCAAGCTTGCTTCTCCCAGGGGAGGGTGCTCCTTCACGAGGACCTCCCACAGGACGCCCCCCCCCCCCCCTCGCTCCCCCCCACTGTTCGCCCAACTCCCACTCACTCGGCGGGGGGAGATTCAAAGGAATGGGGCTTCGTTCGGCTCGATGACGACGTTGCTCGATTCCCCTCTGGGCTGGAACGCTTGAGGTCGAGGGCAGAGGGAAAGGGGGGGAGCGACGGCGACGACGACGACGTCATTTCAGACGGAACAGCGTCAGGGGGGGGAGCGGCAGCGACGACGACGACTCGAACGGAAAAGCCTCACACACGCCAGCAGGGTCGGCGGATTGTTTTTGAAATGGCTGGCACCAAGAACACAACAGCGCTCATTGAACAGCCGTGTCGGTACCAAAACGTTGCGTTGGTATGGAGGAGGAGGAGAAGGAGGTTTCGCATTGTATGGCATGTGGGCAGTGGGGGGGTGCAACATGTCGTTACGGTGGTTCGCGTCTGCGGGTGCCAAAAGTACGACATCGAGATGGGGGCACATGACATGCGAACGCGTGGATGCAATCGATGTTCATATCAATAGACCTTTCCGCCAGCTTACGATGCCAGCCCCCTCAAAGCCGCACTGCAGACCCAGTGACGGTGATGCAGTGGGGTGCACAATGTGATTCCGATAATTGATCGTGGTCGAACCAGTTGACGCCCATTCATGTTGGTGGTCGATGATGCTGATGATGGTGGTGATTGATGATGATGGTGATGGTGGTGGTGATCATGGTGATGATGCTGAGTACGATGATGATGATGAGGATGATGATAAGGATGATGATGCAGGTGATGATGGTGGTGATGATGATGCTGATGCTATGGACTTGTATGTCGATGGTGTCGGTGCCAGTGATGACGACGATGGTGATGATGATGATGATGGTGATTATGATGATGATGATGATGATGATGATTATGATGATGATGATGGAGGTGGTGGTGGTGGTGATGATGATGTGGATGCTGATGCTGACGATGATGATGATGTTGCTGATGCTGATGGTGACGATGATGATGATGATGATGATGATGATGATGATGATGATGATGATGATGATGATGATGATGATGATGTTGCTGCTGCTGATGATGATGATGATGATGATGATGATGCTGATGATGGTGATGATGATGATGATGATGATGAACATGATGATGATGATGATGCTGATGATGATGATGATGCTGCTGATGCTGATGATGATGATGATGATGATGATCATGATGATCATGATGATGCTGATGATGATAATAGTAATAATGCTGATGATGCTGATGATGATGGGGGAACCCAGTGAGCAGCGGCAGCTGGGACGGAGAAGGGTGAGGAGGTGTAGGATCAAGAGAAGGCGGAGCAGCATGAGGAATGATGAAATGAGGAGGGGTAGACCCAAAGGATTGGCTTATAATAGTGAAGCCAAGCAAGCAGAGAGGGGAGAAAAGACACGGGGAGGAAGAGAAGGTAAATGAGGAGGATGAGGAGGAGGGTAATGAGGAAATGGGTTGGAGAAATCCTGGAGGAGAAAAGGAGCACGGCGGCCAGGAGCAGGATGAGTAGGAGGAGCTAGAGGGTGACGCAGGGAATGAGGACGGGGATGAGATCGAGAGAAGGAACTGTAGCATGAAGAGGAGGAGGAGGAGAAGAAACAGTGGGGCGAGAAGACACATATTCCCTTGCGACGTGAACCAAGTATCGACGGGACTTGCTTGGGCGGTTTCGGCAATCAGGGGGGGCCCTTACTGGGTCGCGGGGCCGTCAAAAAACGACTCGGGGTGCAACATCTGCTCCTGGGTCCGGATTTCTGGGGATCCGCGCTGCGCAAAAGTCAGGACGTCGGAGCTTCGGGGAAGGGCTGGAGGACGAGGAGGAGGAGGAGGAGGAGGAGGAGGAGGAGACGCCATACGGGGAGGGCTCCGGGGGGGTCGCTGTTTGTACCCTTCGAATTCTGAAGCCTGCGCCTCGCCCAGACGTGGTGCCACTGCTGTTCGTGCGTTGGTCCTCCTGCGCTCCCAGGAGCTGCGCAGGACACGTGCATTCGGAATAAGAGAAGAAGGAGGAGGAGGAGGAGGAGGAGAATGGTGACGACGAAGAGGCGGAACAGAAGGAGGAGAAGGCTGAGCCTGTGGATGAGTTAGGCGAGAAGGAAAACGAGATAGGCGAGAAGGAAGAGGAGGAGGAGGAGGAGGAGGAGGAGGAGCACGAAGATGCGACAAGACAAGGCAATGCATCATAATGGAGCCTCAAATCTAAATCGACTGAAAAGCTAAACCTTGATTCGCAGCAAAACCTCGTTTCGCAGACGGAGGTGGCCAATCGGGTACAGGAGGGGGGTGAAGGAGGTGGAAGATGACGGTGGTGGGGACAAGGATGGACTGCGAGGTGTGTGTGTGTGTGTGTGGACATTTGGGGGGGTCGGAGGAGGACGGGGAAGGGGTTAGGGGGGAGAGAAGGGGAAGAGCCAACGTAGGAGACGGAGGGAGGAGGACGACGAGGAGGTGGAGCAGGAGGAAGACGAGGAGGAGGATAAGGGAGAGGAGGAGGAGGAGGAGGAGGAGGAGGAGGAGGAGGAGGAGGAGGAGGAGGAGGAGGAAAAGTACGAGGAGGAGGAGGGAGGGAGACCCGTGCACCTGCATTTTCCCGACGGCTGAGGCCCGCGCCAGGCGGCCGGCGGAGGCGGCCCTCGTTCTTTCTTGTATGCGTTTCCCCGTGGCCGCGGGCGGCGTGCGCAGAGCAGCGACGCTGGCCCGGCCCCGGCGGTGCCACCGCAGCCGGAGGGGGGGGGCAGGAGAGGAGGAGCACAGGGCGTGCGTGGGCAGATATCAAGCAGTTGCGAGACGTTTCGGCTGGTCGACCGGCCCACCAAAGACTGTGCTAAGAGCGTCGAGTGGTTTGCGCGAGCTGTTGTTAGAATATGTCTGTCTGAGACCGTCTTGCTTTAATACATCGGGCTTATGTTCTAAGATCATTGTTGTCGCCCACATCCTACGTGAGGTTCTTGCTTTCTTTGCATACCTCAGCGTAGGAACCTCACACCTCATCCCCTCCTCCTGTCGTCACCATCCCATCATGATCACCGATCAGCCTGATTGCCCGCTCACTCGATCATTTATTCACACCCACTCATTCATTACCATAGCATTAACATTCACCATCACTCATGTCATTTCATCCGGCAATCGTCGTCATCAACCACTCACACTTCACTCACTCGCGCAGTCACGTTCACTCATCACCCACTCACTCATCGTCAAGTCATCGCCCGTAGGAAGTCTCTGGCGGGAGTTCCCTCCTTATGGGGCCCGCACTTCATGTTCGAACCCAAGCGGGTCACCCAAATCCTGTAATTGTCGTCGCTTTTGGGCTCCCCAGGCCTGCTGAATCTTGAGGAAGTCTCAGACGGGAGCCTCGTTTTTGGGTGGATCGCGACGAAATCTCTGGCGGGACCCCCCCGTATGGGGCAAGCATCTCATGTTCGAATCTGAGCGGGTCATCCAAATCATGTAGTAGTCGTCATGTTTGGGCTTCTCAGGCTTGAACATAGAAGAAGTCACAGACTGGAGCCTCGTATGTGAGAGAATCGCGACGAATTCTCAGTCTTGAATTTTGAGGAAGTCTCAGACGGGAGCCTCGTCTGTGCATAAATTTAGAGGAAATCTCAGGCGGGAGCCCCCTCCCTGTGGAGCCCGCATGACATGTTCGAATACGAGCGGGTCCTGCAGATTTGCACCTGTCGTCATGTGTGAGGCCCTCAGACCTGAATCTTGCGGAAGTCTCATGCGGGAGAGCCGAACGGGTAATCCGAATCCTGCACTTGTCGTCAGTTTGGGTCTCCTCAGGCCTGAACGTAGAGGAAGTGTCAGGCGGGAGCCTCGTCTGTGGGTGACTCGCGAGGAACTCTCAGGTGGGAGCCCCCCCCCTTGGGGTTTGCAGTTCATGTTCGAATCCGGGCGGGTCATCCAAATCATATCGCAGTCGTCACTGTTGAGCTCCTCAGGCTCGGACATACAGAAAGTCTCAGACGGGAGCCTCGTTTGTGAGAGAATCGCGACGAATGTCAAGCGGGAGTCCCCTCCCTATGGGGCCCGCACTTCATGTTGGAATCCGAGAGGGTCATCCAAATCCTGTAACTGCCTTCACTTTTGAGCTCCTCAGGCCTGAATCTTGAGGAAGTCTCAGGCGGGGGCCTCCTCTGTGAGTGAGTCGCGAGGACGTCTCAGGCGGGAGCCCTTTCCCTTTGGGGCCCGCACTTCATATTCGACTCCGAGGCGGGCCATCGTGATCTTGTAACTGTCGTCGTTGTTGGGCTCCTGTGGCCTGAATGCGGAGGATGTCTCGAGCGGAAGCCCCTTCCCTATGGGGCCCGCACGTCATGTTGGTAATCCGAGCGGGTCATCGGGATCCTTGTATTTGTCGTCATGTTAGAGCTTCCCAGGCTTGAATATGGAGGAAGTCTCGAGTGGGAGCTTCGTCTGTGAGTGCATCGCGTGTGACGGCGCAGGCTTGCATGGCGAGGGGGTCGTTTCCGGGGTCTCTTTGGCGCTGGTCTGGAGCTGCGCAGAGGCGCCAGTGGACAGAAGGTTTGAGTGAGGGGCGGAGGAGGAGGAGGAGGAGGAGGAGGAGGAGGAGGAGGAGGAGGAGGAGGAGGAGGAGGAAGAGTGTGAGGACGTGGTGGAGGAGGGTGAGGCGGAGGGGGAAGAGGATGTGGAAAGTCGACATGCGCGCCCCTGTCAGGAGGAAAAAGAGGTGCATGAGGAGAGCAGGCGGGATGGCGATGAGGGTTAGAAGGAGGGTAAGGTGGAGGAGGAGGTGGAGGAGGAAAAAAGCACGAGGAGGAGGAGGAGGGGGAGTATGAGGAGGAGAGGGACGAGGAGGAGGAGGAGGAGGAGGAGGAGGAGGAGGAGGAGAAGGAGGATAAGAAACGGAACGGGTAGGGCGATAATGACGATGATGATGAGGAGGACGCAAGAGCGGGAGGAGGGCCTGCGCCAGTCGAAGAGGAAAAGGGCGACGGGCGAGATGAGTAGGTTTTCCTGTGAGGTCCCAATTTCCGTCGGAGCAAGTGTCATTATAGAAGTTAGCCCGGCTCTCATTTCGTGGTGAGCCTGAAGGAATGCCAGGACGACCGGTCCCCGCTCGAGAATCGCATCTCCGCATCCGCAGCCTCGCGGGCGGGGCCCTGCGGATGCGCGACACTTGTTCTCCGATGCTCCGCGCGGAACGTGCTCCGTGCGATCTCGTGTATCCGCGGGCGCGCGCCCCGTGGGTCCAGACCGCGAGGGGCGCGGGCACGGACATGTTCTCGCCGCTCGTGAGCGAGAGGGGGGAGGGCAGGGGATCACGAGGAGGAAGAGGTACCGATGTCATCGCGTCTGGGTTCGGCATCCCAGGAGGGGTCACACGGAGTAGCGGAGTGGGTAGGTTTTCGTCCCCCCAGGGGGCAGGGGAGCGAGTAAAGGAAGGGGAGAGAGGAGGAGGAGGAGGAGGAGGAGAGGAGGAGGAGGAGGAGGAGGAGGAGGAGGAGGAGGAGGAGGAGGAGGAGGAGGAGGAGGAGGAGGAGGAGGAGGAGGAGGAGGAGGAGGAGGAGGAGGAGGAGGAGGAGGAGGAGGAGGAGGAGGAGGAGGAGGAGGAGGAGGAGGAGGAGGAGGAGGAGGAGGAGGAGAGGAGGAGGAGGAGGGAGGAGGAGGAGGAGGAGGAGGAGGAGGAGAGGAGGAGGAGGAGGAGGAGGAGGAGGAGGAGGAGGAGGAGGAGGGGGAGGAGGAGGAGGAGGAGGAGGAGGAGGAGGGGGAGGGGGGAGGAGGGAGGAGGAGGAGGAGGAGGAGGAGGAGGAGGAGGAGGGGAGAGGAGGAACGGCGGGAGCACCATGGGGAGGGGGGATCCAAGAGGAGGATGGCGGAGGAGTCTCAGGGGGAGGGGAAGCACGGGAACACACACGGCGGGAGGGCCAGGAGGCGGGAGGAAGAGGCGGAGGTGGAAGGAGCGACCGAGGTTCCAGGACGAGGGCAGGGAGGCTAGACCGAGGAGAAGGGAGATCAGGACGTGGATGAAATCGGAGAGGGAGCAGGAGCGAGGAGGAGGGATGGGGGAGGAGGAGGAGGAGGAGGAGGAGGAGGAGGAGGAGGAGGAGGAGGAACCGCAGGATGACTGAGAGAAGGGAGGGGTAGGGAGGAGGAGCGCCAGAGATGAGAGAGGAGGACTGGCGAGAGGGGCGAGGGCGACGAGTAGAAGCACGAGGCCAAGGCCTGGCTGCAGCCTCGCCGTAGTGCGTACCAGGGATCCGTCGGTTGTCCAGCGCCTCGCCCAATATTCGCACTGGAGTGGTAAGCGGCTCAAAAAGTGGCGTTCTCATCCTCCTGTTCCTCGCCCTTGTCCCCAGACTTCCTCCCATCTCATAAACAGATGTCGACGCTCAACAAAGGTCACGAAGTTCTGCAGCTAGCTTGCCGATGTCCGCCGATTCGACTTCTCCCGACTTGGTTGCAGATTTCCGCCGATGCGATTAATTTCGATCGCCGACTCGGCTCTTCTGGATTCGAGTCTTGACTCTCGTGGATGGGTACTAACAGGGAAGGCGACGACGGGCTGACCAGCGCAGTACGGGGACATACTGCCGTCAATCAGAACAGGCCATGGCCCTTCTTAGAGATGGGGGGGGGAGCAACTTTTGGCTCCTGCCCACATTTTGTGTCCGCTGGCCCCCCGCCCCCCTTCACCGAGGAGGGAAAGTCAAGCCAGGCGCTCGGATTGACGCCGCGGGCGCCAGACGTCTCCCGCCCCCTTCCCTGGGGGCAGTGAGTCGACCGGGGGCACTGGTTGACTGCCCCAGTGCCCCCGAAAACGGCCCCTGGAAGCGCTCGACGACCCCGAGCCGTCGGAAGCCCAGAAGGTCGTCGATCCCTTGGAGGGCGAGGCTGGAGCGCAGGGGGGGGGGGGGGAGATCATCGCAACTGGAGCGCAACGCCTGCTGCGGGCGTAACTTCGACGGGACCACACGGGCCTTGGAGAGCGGCGCCGGAAGTGAAGCTTCAGCCCAGGAGGAGGAGGAGGAGGAGGAGGAGGAGGAGGAGGGGGAGGAGGAGGAGGAGGAGGAGGAGGAGGAGGAGGAGGAGGAGGAAAACGCCTTGGAGAGCGGCGCCGGACGTGAAGCTGCAGCCCCTGGTGGGGGCGCGGAGCGCAGCAGGCACGAGAAGCCGGCCCGCCCGCAGGCGGCCCACAGAGGTGCCTCCTCCCCCGATGGCCTTTGGGGCGGCACCTCGGGAAGCGCCGCGACAGACGACGGCCTTGCCCTTTGCACCACTCCCTGCACCAAGCTTTCTGATCGCATGCGCTCGCCGCAGTCCTCAGGGTGGGTGGGTGCGTCCACTGCTGGGCGGCGCGGACGCGACGGGAGAGCGCGCCGGGCAGAACCCCGCAGAGGCCGCCGAGGGCCCGCGGCACACGTGCGCCGCCAGGCACGCCGCGGGGGGGCGGGGGCGAAATGGAACGAATTACAACCGACTGGTCCCAATTCCAACCGTTCGGAGCGAATTGCAACCAGAAATGAGACCAATTCCAACCAGAAGTGAGACCAATTACAACCATGGATGGGATCTTCGGAATTCCTCAGGATTCCTTCGGATTCTTCGGAATTCCTGAGGATTCCTTCGGATTCTTCGGAATTCCTCAGGATTCCTTCGGATTCTTCGGAGTTCCTCAGGATTCTTTCGGATTCTTCGGAGTTCCTCAGGATTCCTTCGGATTCTTCGGAATTCCTCAGCTGCCCGCGGGGACAACCGCTCGCCGCCGT